AAACAATTAAGCAAGCCGAGCTTATATACTTTTGAATTTTACAGAACTTTTCCCTTCGGCAAAAGTCTCTCCGTTGGGGGGAGAGGTTGTAACAACTTTAAATAATATTAAAATCTTGTAGTTTAAATAATTTAAATAGATGAACATTAAGGTATTTGTGAATGGCAATATTTGAAACCAGACTCGAGTGCCACGTGCGACTCTCGCACGAAGAATGTAATTTATTTGTAAATGTTAGTATTCTTTTTTCTTCTTGTTTGTATGTCGCCTTTTTTGAGTGTTAAATAAAAGTTATTGCTGTGTTCCATCATTGGAGTTGCTTCATATCGCCAAAGAAGTATCACACCATTATTACTTCCATTGTGTACATACAAGAAACTGGCACTTGAAGAAACCAGCGGACTGTGCCTGGACAATGTGGGCGAATAACACACTCAAAAACAGAATAGCCCTTGATAAAATAGAGAAAATCTCAAGGCACTGCCTAAGCAGAAACAACCGTGGATAATATTATAATGTTTCAAAAGTACAGAACTTAAAGCAGATAACCAGAATAACGCTTAGTGCCTTGCAGTTATCAATATGTAAAAACTTTTATTAGTATATAATATTCAACCTTGTTACTCTGGAGCTTTCCCCGCCGTGATGGTATATAATTCCGTTTGGTTCATGTCCGTGGTCGGAAGCCATCATAGCGGTGCACTCACTCACTCACTAGAACAATATTGATCATTCAGCTATATAAACCTAACACATATCCTAAGACGCGCTTTCGAGACATAAAAAAAAGCAATTTGAATTTCGTTAATCAGCCCAGTAAAACGGGAGCTATAAAACTGTCCCCCCTTTTTTCCCGCCGTGTGCATATACAATATAATGGATATAATGGGTGAAGGGCGTGATTGAAATTGAAGGTGCTTTGTACTCCAGTTGAATGAGCTTGGATGACAGGTACACGTATGTTAATCCATGCGGATTCATTTCTATGCCAGAGCTAATCGAAGCGGCTATTCTAGACTAGAGAGTGGTGGCGTCTTTCGGCAAGCCATGAACCTAATGGACCTTAATGAATAAAAGATCTGAAGAACGGGCTAGCCAAGGCAATTGTGGAACACTCTGTGTAAAGAAAGATGAGGACGGCGCGGCTAACATATTGTTAAGAAATGTACAGGCGCGGTAAGATGGCTTCCTCGCAAAGCAGTTTTAAGGTTACCATAAAATGGCAAGATAAAACAGGGTTGCCACTTTTGGCGAGAAATCGACCATTTGGCGACGAAATTGGCGATATACCATGGACGGATGGAGAACCTTCTGGAACTAACTCTTACCGGTTTAGCCCAGAATGTTCTCGAACATGAGCCAAATGCTATATAAACCCTTCTGGTACGCGGAGAGTTAGTATCGAGTTGGTGGCTCGTCTAGCAAGTCAATCCCTGCGGAGTGCATCGAGTTGACAGACAGGCAGCGAGTGCCGAGTGAGTCGTCTAGTGCACCGAAAGAGTCTCTTAGTGTATCGCGGTTAGTGCATCGTCGAAAGAGCGTGTTGAGCTCCGAGAACGACTGAACCGAAGAGTCGGGAGCCGTGATCTGTGTGTCGTCGAGTGCATCGCGAGTTGTAGCGTGGGAAGTCTCGAGAGTACGTGGAGTTCCCAGAATGACCAAGCAAAGTGAAGAGCTATACTCTAGTGCTTTGCCGTGAAGCTGTCTCCACCATGATAGCCTGATAACCTGGAGGCTGTGTCACTGATCGTGTCACCGTGTTTATAGTAGATCTTCGACGACTGTAAAAGTGTTTTGGAGCTGTCCTGATTAATATTGGTAAATAAAGTGTGTTTCGATACTTCATCAAGTGTTGTCTTTATTCACTTCAAATCTACGAACCCCGTACGAACGTAAAGGAAGAGAAAAACGCAACAAATGGTGTCAGAAAAAAACGTAACAATATACTCGGGCACTATCTTGTTGAAAGACAGCGTCAAGGTACAGCCATGGGCTTGACACATCAGAAATGAAACGGCGGTTGCCCACATTCTCCGCTATGGGAACAAGAGAACTTCGATGGTTGTGTGTGAGTGAGCTACCTATGAAAACACGTGTTTTTGATTCTTCATTGAATTTATTAGAACAGTGTTAGCTTTTTCGACATGGCTTCCCACGCGCTGTTAGAGAGTGCTACTGATTGTCATATAAAATTGTTTAGACAGTGACGTGGACAGTTTTGACGGACTTGTTAAATAAGCATTACTTCGTTGAGTTAGACTTTATTAACACATTAAATTTTCTGACTTATCTGCGGAACCACTGTGACCAAATTTGCAGTGCCAGTGAAAAGTTTTTGAAGGACAACAACCCGCAACAGGAAAATAGCTTACATCGTGCAATGATTGCTTTACAGATCTCGGCAATAACCGGAAAATCGACGTCAAAAGTACTGAAGCCAGTTCTCGAAAAGCTTCTCATTCCAGAAAAAAGCTCTTCTTTCCAAAATAACGAACTACTAGAACTACTAGCCAATAGCATAATTTTAAAAGCATCTCTATAACATTCTTTATCTTTTTTCAGTCTTTAAAGAACAGTCTTTTTCAGTCAATAGCATATTTCCGGATTTTCTGTCGTTGACATAATTCGAACTTTAGCTGGAAGAATTCAGAAGACGCTGCGACACCCATCAACAAGTTGTTCCCATTGTTCTTAATTTTTCAAGACATTTTAGCAGAAATGCCTCTGGGCATATTTATTAAGTATCGTACATAGTGTATGCATAGTTTTCTTGAAGTTTAAGTGAACTTTTAATTTTCCCCATTTTTCGACGCATAAATTATGTGTATGTATTTTGTTGTGTTATATTTTCTACCGGCATATTTTTTATTTCGTATAGTTACTTTTTTCATTAGTTTCACACTGCACCCTACTGATTTCGTACTTTCCTTAACCAATTCATATTGCCTATTTTAATTCCTCGGTTTGTCTAACCAGCTCCGTAGCTTGAATTTGTGTTTCAACAATATTGTAGATGTAACGCGTCTGATGTAAAGAACTCTAATTTTGGAAAGAATTTTATGGTTATGAGGAGTATTTTCTACTTCATAATAATATTCTCAAAATATTTTGCAATAGAGTTAGGGCCTCGAACTCGGAGCTCCGGTGATGCATCATTCAGACCAAAGAAGCCAACATCCTGACTCAAGGTACGTGACGTAGCTGTACGATCGAGGACTTTGGGGGTCGCTGAGATCATGCATGGTGTTCAATACGGTCCAATCGAAGTCGAATTTTGACACATGCTGGTAGGAGTTTCTTCTTCATTCACGAGGAATTCAGTTACCTTTATAAAATAACTAACGTTCAAATGCAATTTCCAAATGCGAAGCCAGCTGTGCAGTTTTCCCATTTATACATAATATAGATGACGTTATTTATACCTACTTTGAACGCATGCACTGCAAGGCTCATCATTTGCATATCTCAGCATACAGTATCTTCCATGCAAATTTGACGTTTTTGCATTTCGCTTTCATGGTGTTGCAGTTTGGAAGCCCAGCGCGATATAGTGGTTAATGACGTCAATTGCCGTACCTATTCGAATCACAAAAAAGGTATGGATGTTTGTAAGCGTATAGTGTTTCTGAGGTAAGGGGCAATCAAAATACACGGCGAGCCAAAGGTCCTTTCGAAAAGAAATTAGTTGGGAAGAAGAGAGGGAGACCCTCAGACCATCACCACGCGGTGTCCTCCTACAAAATTGCAGTGAAACTGCCCAGTTAGGGCTGTGGAATTATGCCTGTACGGCAATGGTTAAATTCTACCGTCCTGCCCTCTTCTATCTTTACTTGTACCTGGTGCAGCAATTTTAATGCCCAGCAATTTAAGCACTAGTATGATTGCACTTAAAATTTGTAGAGACATTAAGATTTTTTGGAAGTAGAAAAGATGAAAAATGAGCAACGCCCTCACCGAGAATAGAACCACGGACCTCTGGAATACGCGCCCAGCGTGCTGACCACTACACTACGAAGGCATGCTAAGATGGCGGTAGAAATACCTTATATACTTACCTTATATACTATACCTTTTAAAGGGCGACTGGGGATTTAGGGGACCCAATCGACAAATCCTGGGTGTGGAGAATTACCATCCACCACCTTTTCAGTTATAACGCCACTGTAGAGACACAAGGATTTTTTTTGGAAGCAGGAAAGATGAAAAATGAGCAATGCCCTCGCCGGGAATCGAACCACGGACCTCTGGAATACGCGCCCAGAGTGCTGACCCCTACACTACGAAGGCATGCTAAGAAGGCGGAGGAAACACCTTATAGACCTTTAGAGAAGGTTATAACAAAGCATTTCAAATTAATGTCATTCAAACATGCTTCTTTTTTACTTCCTTCAGATCTATTATACAATTTGATTTTATAAATAGTATACGAGGAAATAAAAATTCTGGAATTTTCAGTCCAAGTGTGCAAACGTATTGAAATGTGCTTCATAAAGAATCATTCTGATTGTTCAATATACCTAGAAATAGAATGCACATGATCCTTCTACAGTTTCGGCTATTTAAGGCTAGGAAACAGCCGCAGAAGGAGAAACCTTGCCGTCTTCATCAGTAAAGGTGAGACTCTTATACTCTGAAGGGATGTGATATATTAGGTTTCTTCCGATACGCGTTATACATAAATAATTTGATGGAATGTTAAAACAAAAGAATATTTTAAGAAAGCAATATCTCGCATTTGTAATATTCTGGTGTAGACATGTTCATTGTAATAATTTAGTGTTTTGTACGTTAAACGTGAAAATGATACCGAAAATCCGGTACTTTTTTCTTCTAGTAAATTTATAGTTGTGAGGTTGCTGATGATTCTATTTATTTTAGATACTTCTCACTTACTACATACTTAATTTCGCTATGTAAATTGCCCTCTTCAAAGTAACCTAAACTTAGGTAGTTAGAGAAACAGTTGGTGGCAACCACTAAAAAAATCAAGCTAAACGTCTGCGATTGGGCTAATTCAAGGTTTACGGATTAATGTCGTTATGTATTTTAGGCGCGCAAACGGCGTATAGTGAGATCATGAAAACAGTGTCAGTATTTATTTAACTCGTTTAAAATTTAGCTGTGCCTACTTTGTGTCAAAAGTATGTTTTGAGTTTTGATGTCTAAACTTTATGTGCAATGAAATTCTTGTATATATGAAATTATAAATATAATTTCATGGACGAACGTATGGAAGAAGCTAGTGATGAAGAGGCACAAACAGTATCTGAACAATCGGATGATGCTCATTCTGAAGGATCTGATGGAGTAAGTTTCTATATATTTAATATTTAAATCATACATAAAATAAAATCAGAGAAGGTAAAAAGTAAATAAAAATTCATCGCAAAGGAAGTTTCTTTTATGGTGATCTTATCTTAACAAGCGGATGATGCTCATTCTGAAGGATCTGATGGAGTAAGTTTCTATATATTTAAACTTTAAATCATGCATAAAAGGAAATCGGAGAAGGTAAAAAGTAAATAAAAATTTATCGCAAAGGAAGTTTCTTTTATCGCGATCTTTGCTCATCGGAGAGTTAATAGCCTAAAATTGGTTATTAGTGGTAATTCATCCAGGTGTCTAGTTAGTAATTATGTATGTTGATTGCGTGAGTGTTATTGATCTATTTATTTTTTCCTATGTGTAATTAAAAGGCGAGCCATTTTCCTGTAGATAAACCTCAACTTTCTTGTTGTAATTAATGTATATCTAAGTTGATCTCTCTTTAATTTAAATACAGGGCATGAAAATTATCTTGACACAACAAATAGTCATAGTTAGTGAGAGATTTTTAGTTTTGGTAGTCAGTTGTGAGGCAGTTTAATATTAAATGGTTGTTTGTAACAGCTGATTAACTGTTTACACTGAAAAAACAAGTCTGAGTTGCGAATCAGTATATGGCAGCAAATTATTGGATAATAAGTCGCATCATTAAAATTACTTTAAAGTATTTTTTGGTAAGTAGTTTAAATTGTCAATGGCTAGCGAAATGTTACCTTTTCAAGGGTGAGAAAAATTAGACAAGAATTTTATTTCCTGAAATTAATGCAGGTTGTGCAAAATGTTAGATGATATAATATTAGATGATAGCATCTTCCAATGTTGTATTTAAAGGAATCCAGTAAATTGTCTTGATTAGAAAGTAATGCATGGTTTTCTCTTACCAAAATTCAAGTGCACAGAAATGTATAAAAAGGATTCTGCAATCAAAATTATTAGAGGTTATTATAATTTTGACATCATACTCTTTTTCCCCCTTTTATTCCAAGGCTGAAAAGGTAGGGCTGTCATATTTTTTAAATTTTATCAATAAAAAAAATAAAATTAAGGTAAAATAGGATTAGGTTCAAAGGACTTGGGATTAGATAAGATAAAGGTAAGTTAAGATTAGGATTAAATTTCTATAATGTTTTATTAATTTTATTGTGAAAAGGATAACATTAAGGAATATACAGGATAACTAAAATTAGATTTACTTAAGATTAGTTAAATTGTGTCATGAAAAGCTGCATATTCTCCATGTTAAGCTGTGTGAGTTTCTTCTACAGTTGTTGGAAGACAGAGACACCATCATTCTACCAAGATGTTGGGTAATATTGTGTCTTGTCCCGGCATATCTAGCATTAGGAGATACATCAGATATCTCTAAGATATTGTTGCCTTGTTGTTGTAGATTAGGTCATAATTACATAATTATTACATTATTTCTACATGAAAATGCTATAAAAGCAAATCGAAGATTTTTCCAGTGTATTAATTTGTTATTACTGATTGTAATTGCATAGTTTAATCCTTTGAAGGCCAAAACTCACAAGGTAGCCTTTCATTCAGATGACCATCACCACTCAAAGTGGCCGAGATAGCGTTGTTGTTTTCTTCTCTTCCCCTAAGGTATGCCGTAGCAGGTCCAGTTTTTCTGGTACTGTTGTTATTAGGACCGGATCCAGAAATGTATGTATGCATATATGTGTGGATGGATGAATGTGTTCATGTATGCATGCATATATGATGTAAGCATGAATATACAGTGGATGGACAAAAATATGGAAACACCTTGTGAAATGCATGTTTGAAAAGAAAGATTGATTTTAATGAAATATGTAGGTGGTGCTGGCGTTTTTGACTACTGACGCCACCTATACAACTTCGTAAATGTGCTAAACAGTTCAGTTGTTGTCGGAGTACTGTTATGTGAGGTTGTAATTGCATTATGTCAGAGTTAACAGACTTCGAACGTGGGCAAATTGTTGGAGCACGTATGGTGGGTGCTTCCGTAAGCAAGATAGCCGAGGTGTTTAGTGTTTCAAGAGGTACTGTATCAAAGATTTATTCCGCATATTTGAAAAGCGGAAAAACATCATCTGCTAAATCACAGCGCGGACGAAAGTGTGTCCTGAGTGATCGTGACAGACGATCATTAAGGGCAATTGTGACGAAAAATAAGACCACAGCTGCAAAAGTTACTGCTGAAATGAATGTTGTGTTACCGAACCCTGTGAGTACCAAAACAATTAGAAGGGAGCTTCATAAACAGGGAATTGCTGGCCGTGCTGCAATTGAGAAGCCACTCATCAGTGATGCTAATGCCCGTAACAGGAAGAGGTGGTTAAGTCATAAAGCCTGGACTATAGAGCAGTGGAAGCGAGTAATATGGTCTGACGAGTCTTCTTTCACATTGTTTCCCACTTCTGGCCGAGTTTACGTCTGGAGAACGCCATCTCAAGCCTATAATACAGACTGCTTGTTGCCAAGAGTGAAACATGGTGGGGGTTCTGTTATGGTTTGGGCAGCCATATCGTGGTTCTCTGCTAGCCCCATGATAACTGTGTCAGGGCACATGACTGCCAAGACTTATGTGAACATTTTGGCCGATCAAGTTCATCCCATGGTACAAACTTTGTTCCCCGATGGTGATGGTGTCTTCCAAGATGACAAAGCCCCTGTTCACACAGCTCACATTGTCCAGGACTGGTTTTCTGAGCACGAGGATGAGTTGTCCCATCTCCCCTGGCCACCACAGTCACCAGACCTGAATATTATCGAACCTTTGTGATCTACATTGGAACGGAAAGTGAGTTCTCGTTATCCATCGCCAACATCGTTATCTGAACTTGCCGTTTTGCAGGAAGAATGGTATAATATTCCCTTGGCAAACATACAGGAACTGTATTTATCCATACCGAGAAGACTGCAAGCTGTTTTGGATGCCAACGGGTTTCCTACACCATATTAAGCAAAGAAACATGTTTTTTTAAAGGTGTTTCCATATTTTTGTCCAATCCCTGTATGTGTGTATGCATACGTACATATATACACATGCGTATACACTCATACATTTATGAATCTGGTCCCAATAACAGATCAGTAACATTTTCCCAAATGCATTTTATCAGGTAATTGCAGACAGCTTGTTCTAAAAGACTAATGGAAGCATGTTTGTTAGGAAGTAGAAAGAATGTCATTTGAAATCTTCGCACCTCTTTGTCCATTAATGAACAGGAGGGAAGGAAACAAATGGCGTGGGGATGTGTGTTTCAGTATTTTAAGCATACATGTTAGTGTGAGGGTTTCGGTTTTCTAAGGGTTAAACAGCGCCAAAGCAATATTTTAACCTTGAAGGCAAGTGTAGAAGTTGGTGACCAAGGAAGATGAAAGATGATGAGTTGAAAATATTGATGGACAACAGGTCTATGCATCAATAGTAAAGAAATAAAGGAGAGTCTTCACTGCACTCATTTAACAATAATAGGTCATTTGAAGTTAGGAAAGTTTTTTTTCATGTTAATATATGAGTTTCACATGAGCTAAACAGCTGAATATCATTAACAGTGAGTATTGATTTACACTTCTTTGTTCATAAAGGATAAATGGAACAATTCCTAAGGTGTAATATGAGTAGTATTGAAAAAGGAATTCTCTGTGCTAATATTACTCGGGAATGACATCGTTTGAATCTGAAAGAAAAGCTGTGTCAGTGAAGTATGATTTCATCCAAAGATGGTTTATTCTGTATATGGTGACATATGAAAAGGAAGGGTTTAATTTAAATAATTAGAAGTAGACAGGTAATTGTTGAAGACATCTGCTGTCATGACTAGTTAGAAAATTTGAATTGAAAGTTGTCAATTAACAACCTACATTGATCAACAAACCAGATGTGATTTTTCAGCAGGAGGATGCTAAATTACTAAGAGTGATTTAACAAAAGTTTAAAGAAATATTCTTGCTCATCAGTAAAACTTCAACAAGTTGAAAATGTAATATGTTAATGTTTTGCAGCAGAATTAAAAAAAAATTTTTTTTTGAAAAGAGGCTGAAAAAGTTTTCAGAAAGATGGGTTTTGAAATCATTGAAAATTTTTGATATTTTATTAATATTTAAATTTTATGAAGCAGCTATTTCTTTTTCCATTTGAATTTGTAATTTAAATTCATATGAAATGTTTATAAAAATTAAATATAAAATATTTCATTGCAGTTTTCTGCATATATCATTCATTCTATTCAATATTATTCTAAGAGGAATTCGAAATTAATTCCATAATATGTGACAGGTTTAATAACCACATAGACTAAAAAATTTCTGTTGAAATTTACAAAGATCTAGCTAATATAAACTGGGGACCAAAATTAAATGACCCCCCCAAAAAAAAACTTTTTTATATGAAGTAAATAATTTGATTCACTTTTCATGGAGTGACTGAAATTTAATTATTCTTATAAAATTCAGTATGATTTAATCACTATGAAATCCAAGTTTGTTCCAAATTTTTTATTTTAAAATCATTGTTCATTTCAACCCCTTTTCCTAAAAATCTAATGGCATTCAATGGTGAGGTTTCACTCTTGCATAAAGTGACCCCACGTCCCGATTTTGGTGGGACAGTCCTGCTTTTTGGAGGACTGTCCCGGCGATTTTTAAAAATATCCTGCTTTTTAGAAAACATCTGCATTTCTTATTTTAAATGTACTGTAAAAATATATTACCTATTATTTATTAATTATTATAGTGAATATAAAGAAATAAAAAAACATAAAATGGATGCAGAGTAAACTAAATTAAGCAATGTAAAGAGTTAGATTTATTCAGTGGTGTTCGATCATTGTCGTTACGTCTCTTCAAGGAATATGTGTTGTTAACGGAGGAACAGCTGGCATTAGCTGAATGGCTATTTGCTTTCCACATCATAAACCACAATCAAAGTTTCAGATTAATTGATTGTACGTTGCAAATGATCAAAACATTTTACGACAAAAAATTTGCAC